TAGATCTAGCACCACATTCTGTTTCTTGCTTTCCAAGTCACCAAATTTCCTCTAACAAAGTCATCATTCTTCTTGTAGATAAGTCCTCAGTGTGGTGTTCTATGAGAATGCAAACTGACTTAATACACTCACAACAAAGGCTATATCCGGTCTAGTGGTTGTCATGTAGATAAGTTTACCTACAAGTCTTCTATAATTGACAAGATCTTCTAGGTCTCCTTGATCCATTGAAAGTCTTCTATATTTGACAAGATCTGAAAATATCTAGTAAGTCTTTAGTTGACGAGATCTATGGGTGGTATTAACTGGTTTAGCCCCTAACATCCCTGTTTTTGTTAGTAAATCAGTTACATATTTCCTTTGGATAGACTAATAGCATATTGTAACTGAGCTACTTCAATCCCTAGAAAATACCTCATTTGCCCCAAGTCGTTTCTTTGAATGCAGATAACTCTTTAACTTATGAATTTCTTCTTGATACATGTAATAATAATATCAACATAAACAACCAAGATAATAGTTCCAGCTGCTTGTTTTCAAATAAATATTGAATGATCACATGGCTCTGCTGAAACCCATATGCATGCCATAACAAGTTCGCTGAATTTCTCAAACATTGCGTGTGGTGATTGCCAATGTTCAAGAAGGCGGATGTGGCCGCTTAGGCAGCTAGGGGTTGGGGCCAACCTTCTGAAATATACCAACTTTCTTTAAATGGAATCGATACCACAGCAAGCCGGAAAGTTTTTGTGCCAAAAAACATATGAAGGTATATGATTTAGCAAAAAACAAGCTGTCAAAACAACATCTATTATATTGTGGATGTTTCTTTCTGCTACCCCATTCTGTTAGGGAGTATGCTCACATGATGTATGATGCAGAATGCCATGTGTGGCTAAATAATTCTGGAAATCTTGAGGCAAATATTCTTTATCATTAACTGAATGCAAAGTACAAATATTCCTTCCAAACTGAGTTTGGATATCTGTATGAACAATCGAAAAATAGACAAGGCCTCAGATCTGTCTTTGATTAAATATACTTATGTCATCCAAGGAAAATTATCAACAAAAATAAATAAATATCGACCTAGACTCTGAATTCTAGGGCCCAAATGTTTGAATGAACGACTGAAAAAAACAGATTCTCATTTATTAATTCTAGAAGGAAAGAGCTTCTATGATGCTTTCCTAACTCACAAGCCCCACACTAAAGAGTTGACAGTGACTCTAGTGAAGGGATTAACATCTTCAAATAGAAAACCCATCACCGAGTCCTCTATTTCCACCACTTCTTGTTGCCTTGACCTCTACAATGACCTCCCCTTGAATCAGGACCTTGTCCTCTATTTCCACCACCATGGCCTTTGCCATCATTTCTACCCATGGAGGATGTTAAAGCAGACCCATCACCAATGCTAGTAGCCGATGAAGAAGAAGGTATAGTAACCTGTTGAAGGTGAGAGTATACATTAACATTATTAAGAGAGGGAAGTTCACTACTAGTTGAGATCTGCCCACAAACAACATGATACTCATAATTAAGGCTAGTAGAACTTTGAAACTCTAAATTTCTCTCTTTGCTTTTTAAGAAGTTTAATATCATTAATTAGGGGTTGATAAATATTCGATTCTTCCCGCATACTTCGAAGAGAACTATAATTATCATTGAGGCTTTTGTCTCCTTCTTGTAAAAGACATACTCTCATAAAGTAGATAAATCCAAGAAATATTTTTAGCAGAGGAGCACATTTCCTTTACAGTTTCTTACACTTCCGTAGCAATATTATGGAACATAACATCAGCTTTCATATGGGGTTCCGTGCTATTCCATAACCGTGTCGTAATCTAATAGTTCTCCTTAGGTCACATATCATACTCGCTTTTCGACTCTTTTGGGCCATCTTTAATTAAAAATTTCATTTTACCCTTGCGCCCAAAAAACCTTTTTGGATTGAGCCCATAAAAGGCAATTTGGACCCATTTAATCTTTCATTTATTGCTGGAATTCCTATTAGTCACTAATAGTGGGAATTCCAGGTTTACTTTCCTTGGCCATAAGAGCAAAACAATCTCAAATAAGCAAGGTATGATAGTATATGTTAGGTCACACACTAAAAACACATTAAAAACTTGCTGGAAATTTATAAAATCAACAATTCACAAGAACAAAACAACATATAGCACACAATAACTTCTCAATCAACTATAGGGAGAACACTTGTCTGTTTAAAAGCCGATGCACAAAGCTCTTTCTACTACAACATACAATGAAACCCCAAAATCCCCAAAAAAAGTCACTCGTAACTTCTGCAACACACCTTGCAGCATTTCACACTTGCTCTTCCAGGCTTTTCACATCCAAGAGAGGAACTTTTCAATGGCACGAACATTCACAACACACAGAGGCTACCATGCTGGCCTCACAAACAGAAAGGAATATTTCTTGATGATATTAGCACTAATAAAAATAAGGGTTTACCTCTCCTTTTTTTTTTTGGTTAAAAACAAGTAGCTATTTCTTTAAAGAAGAGACAAGAAGACAATAAGCAGATTGGTGCTCTGGTACCATGTGAACATTACTTGTAAACAGTGTTGTGAATAGTGCCCCTGAAGAGTACCATGAATAGTAGCATGAACAAATAAAAGTGTCAAAACTAGAGAAAGGGAAAAGAAGAGAGAAAAGATGAAAGAGAAGAGCGGAGAGAGTGACATGAGATTCAGTCACCCCATGCCCCACTAATATCTTTTATAATGTTTGTTTACCCTTAGTGAAAATAAGTATCCTAAAGTATATAAAAATGACAGAGATGCCCCAATACACAAAACAAGTTATTCTTTAACACTTTCTATAACTTAATAATTCACTCAGTCAGGTAATACCATTGCTGCTTCATAAGTTTTTTGAAGTCTTGATCTTTATGCAGTAACATAATTCACTTATAGGCTGATATTTAAAATTCTACTCTACCCTTTGATATCATCGAGTTTATTGATTCTTATTCTCCCTTTATACTCAAGTTCAATATCCTTTACACATTCGCCATTGACCATAAGTGTGTAGCATCTTTTCCCCTCATCTTGTTTCTTGGGGTCGACCAATCTAAAAGAACTATTTAGCAGCATCACAATCAATCCCAGGCATCATTTCTAGAGTTGGGTGGATTAATTGTGGAATGGAAACATAAAATAATGAAATGACTCTCTTACATACACATGTATAACTGAAAAACACTTCAGAGTCATGCAAGTTTTAAACAAAATCTTAAAGTATATTGCGATTGACCAATCTAAAAGTACTACTTTTCAAGGCAGCATAATTACTCCCAGGCATCATTTCAAGAAATGGGTGGTCTAATTGTGGAAACCTGAAATATTGAAATGGCTCTTTTGCATAGGCACGCATAACTGAACTACTGAAGAAATGCATGTTTAAAATGAAATCTCTAGGTATCTTTTGAGCAGCTATCTACAAGCAAAATGCTCCCCTAGTATGGCTCTGAAGCTTAAACTGACTGCACCATTTGCTCATGTTTCCCGCTAATCATTAATCTATAGCCTATACGACATTGATGTTTTGATTAGGTTATTCTATTTCCTGAAGACAATAGACTGACATACCCTATCTGATAAGGAGTACTTTCATCTGTTTCAGAATCTTCAGTCATGCAAGTTTTAAACAAAATTTCAAGATATCTTGCGATTGACCAGTCTAAAAGTACTATTTTTCCACGCAGCATAGTCACTCCCAGGCACCATTTCTAGAAATAGATGGACTAATTGTGGAAACCGGAAGGACGCGGTTAGCATGCGGCCAAGCTCGCACATGTAGAAATGAAGGCTTGGCAATAAATATATTTTTAAATATAATTTGATCCTAGTTTTTTGAGAATATATAATTTTTAACATGGAGGTCATGAATATGAAAAAATAAATAAATTTTGAAAAATAGAAATAATAATTA